GAGGCAGCGATTCACAGCGCTACACCTGCAATTGCCACTGACACTGATGGAATAACAGCCCTTAAGTTTACCTTTTTCTTTAATTAAAAGCCTTCTTTTTAAGAACATGATTGATTTCTCCTTGTTTTAAGATCCAAGGGGTTTGGATCTGTATTCACCAGGGTATTGGTAAAAGGTTTCTCAAGGCTTCCCAGGGAGGGAATCCAATTGGGAAATGGTGGCAGCGGACCAGAGCTAAGCTGGTAGTTAAGCTTAGAAGTTTTCATGCAGGCCCCTACATTTGTACCCTAAAGTTCAAAGTGGGGATACAGCCTTGACATGTGCAAAGCCACCTTCCAGGATCTGTGTGCGGAGCTCGCCCCACCCTGTGGCACAAGGACACCAGAATGAGAGCTGCCCGCACTGTGGGAAAGTGAGTGGCGATTGCTGTGTGGAAGCTGGTGACTCCAAACTGCTACCAGTCAGTTGCGAATCAGTTTGGAGTTGGAAAATCCACCATGGGAGTTGCGGTGATGCAAGTGTGCAAGGCTATTAATCCCCTCCTGCTACAAAAGACTGTAACTTGGTAATGTGCAGGAAATAGTGGATGGCTTTGCCGCAATGAGATTCCCTAACTGCAGCAGGGCGATAGATGACACACGTATCCCCATTTTGGCCCCAGGCCATCTTGCGATGGAGTACATCAATAGAAAGGGCTACTTCTCCATTGTCTTGTACGCGCTGGTGGATCACCGAGGCCATTTCACTGACATCATTGTGGCATGGTCAGGGAAGGTGCTTGATTCACGTACCCTTTCAGAACACTGGCCTGTACAGAAAGCTGCATGCTGGGACATTTTTTTCCAGGCCAGAAGATTCCAATGGGGGATATGGAAATGCCCACAGTGATCCTGTGAGACCCAGCCTATCCCTTGCTCCTGTGGATGGGAGCCAGATGGGGAGGATAGCCAGAGCCCAGCCAAGCTGTAGTGAACCCCAGTGTTCAAGCTCGCTTTGTCCCTCCATCAGACCCTTTCATCAGATTCCTAGGTGTGTGTCCCGACTGCTTCCCACAGCCCACACTTAACTTCCACCTCCCCCGCAGCCCAGGGAAAATGTGGCTCAGCCCCCCTGCTGAGAGGCAGGGAAGTCTGTATCTCTCTGGGTCATTGGTTGCTAGGTGTGAACATCTTAGTGAATGGATTTAGCATTGTCTTCTCAGATGCCCCACTGATGGGGATCAAGTCCCAGGCAACTAGGTGACACCCATATCTATCTATATCACATCTAGTGGATGGGTCACTACAAAAAGTAATTTTTCCCTCTGCTGATACTCACACCTTCTTGTCAACTGTTAGAAATGGGCGAAGTCCACCTTGATTGCATTGGCCTCATTAGCACTACAAAAGTAATTTTCCTCCTTTGATATTCACCCCTTCTTGTCAACCATTGACACTTCCACCTTAATTGAATTGGCCTTGTTAGCACTGACCCCCCCACTTGGTAAGGCAACTCCCATCTTTTAATGTGCTGTAATATTTATACTGTTTACTGTATTTTTCACTCCATGCATCTGATGAAGTGGGTTTTAGCCCACGAGAGCTGATGCCCAATAAATTTGTTAGTCTCTAAGGTGCCACAAGAACTCCTCGTTGTTTTTACCCATATCTATGTCTCTTCACCTGCCCTGAGAGCAAGCAGTCCTTTCTCCGCCTCTAGGTAACAATGCAGCACATAAGGGAAATTGAGGCGTGCACAGGCTGCATACAAATTTCAAAATTTTATTGAAGCTAATGTTAAAAAAATTATATAATATTTAGAATGAGAAAAGAGTATCTGTACAACTGGGTATAGTTCCTAGATTATCCACAAATACAAAGTTTGTTTTTAAAAGTCATATGATACATAGAGTACATAATCAGCAATAACCCAAATTTAGGTGAATAGATTTAACAATACAGTTTAGATATTAGAATCTGAATACTTGGGTACATCACTTATTAAAAGTTGTACAGAGATTTGGTTGTGGAAAGCAAAATATATCAATGAGTGGAGATTGTCCCTCAGTAATTGAGAATTAGATTGGTTGTCCATTTGGAAAATACAATCCATGAGGAAAGTAAACAATTCCCACTCTGTCACAGAGGTCCATAGCAGGTGGTCAAACTAGGCCATAAAATGAGGCACTCCCACAGATTGACATAGGGAGATTATATAGCAGCCAGGAGACTGCCTGAGCATTAACTGCACAGAGCTCTGTAGCTTAGCTCTAAGGGGTGCTTTGGGTCCCCATGCACACATTCAGCATTTTCTTCCACATCCAACAAACAGGTGCCCTTGCCTTAATCTGTGTAAGTAGGGGCATTGCCAGCAGATCGAGAGACATGATCATTCCCCTCTATTCAATATTGGTGAGGCCTCATCTGGAGTACTCTGTGCAGTTTTGGGCCCCACACTACAAGAAGGATATGGAAAAATTGGAAAGAGTCCAGCGGAGGGCAACAAAATGTTTAGGGGGCTGGTGCACATGATTTATGAGGAGAGACTGAGGGAACTGGGATTGTTTAGTCTTCAGAAGAGAAGGATGAGGGGGATTTGATAGCTGTTTTCAACTACCTGAAAGGGGGTTCCAAAGAGGATGGATCTAGACTGTTCTCAGTGGTAGCAGATGACAGAACAAGGAGTAATGGTCTCAAGTTGCAGTGGGGAAGGTTTAGGTTGTATATTAGGAAAAAACTTTTTCACTAGGATGGTGGTGAAACACTGGAATAGGTTACCTAGGAAGGTGGTGGAATCTCCTTCCTTAGAGGTTTTTAAGGTCAGGCTTGACAAAGTCCTGGCTGGGATGATTTAGGTGGGGATTGGTCCTGCTTTGAGCAGGGGGTTGGACTAGATGACCCCCTGAGGTCCCTTCCAACCCTGATATTCTGCGATTCTATGATCTGGTTCATACACCTGTGGGCAGGGGAGTGAATTCCCTGTTAGTATTGACACCTCATCTCACTCTGTTTCTAGGTCCTATCTGTTCTGACCTCCCAGATGCCTTGTGGTTTCAAACCTTCTGCCAGTTTGCACATTATCGCTGCTCCAACCGCAAGTACTACACCAAGGTGAGGGGGGGGGGGATTAGAACAGTGGCAGCGATGGCTTTTGGTGGGGGGGGATTATCACAGTGGAGCAGAGGGTTTTGAGGGGATTATTGCAGTGAAAGGTATGGGGTTTGGGGGATTATTGCTGTGGAGGGGTGAGGATTTGGGGGTATGACCGGGGTCCTAGTGCGGGCCAGCTATGGTTACTAAATTAGGGCAAACTACAAAAAATGGGGCAGCCAAACCCCAAAAAGCTGGTGGATATTCCAATACTTAGATTTACCAAGCCAGCATAAAACACCTACTTTATTACCTTACTGGTTACTCAGAAGTCCAAACAACACAGTTCTCTTAAAGTGATCCAGCCTCAGGCCTCCATCCAGGTACTCACGTCAAATATGATGATTTCTGATTTCTCATCATATAAAAGAAAAGGTTCTACCAATCCCAAAGGACTGGACACATTACCTCCCAGGTTAATGAATGTTTCAGATCTTACCCAAATACACCCTACAGCCAATTCTTATTAACTAATCTAAAATTTATTAAAAAACAAAAGAGAGAGTATGGTTAAAAGATGAATATACATACAGACATGAGTTCAATTCATTGAGGTTTAGATTCATAGCAGAGATGGTGAGCTTTGTAGTTCAAAGAGTTCCTTTAGAATTCAGTTCATAGGTCCAAATATCATATCCAGGGCGTACCAGCATAACTGGGATCTTAGTCTTGCGACTCAGACTTCCCCTGTTGAAGTCTAAGCAGATCTGCGATGACAGAATCAGGACCCAAGGATCTTTTATACAATTTCATGTCCTCTTTGACAAGTTGGGATTTCCTCGGGGAACAAAAGGTAATTAGGATGACTTTGAAGGAGGTCCATCACCGGTACTTAGCTATACGAATTAACATAAGGCCATTTGCTTGTTCCTCCACCATTCTCAGTACATTTCAAAGAGAGATGAATACAGAGAGATCCCATGTTTACTGTTCTTTTGACCTCTGAACTATCAGAATACAGCATAGACAGGGACTGTTGATTATGTTGTCCATCCTACTCCTACATATGTAAATACACAAAAACACAAACATTATCTCCCACATGTCCTCTGTGGGTTATTTATTTTTCAGGATGTTTAACCCTTTCTAGCCATGCGTTACAGGGGGATTATTGCAGTAGAGAATATCATAGAATCATAGAATATCAGGGTTGGAAGGGACCTCAGGAGGTCATCTAGTCCAACCCCCTGCTCAAAGCAGGACCAATCCCCAACTAAATCATCCCAGCCAGGGCTTTGTCAAGCCGGGCCTTAAAAACCTCTAAGGAAGGAGAGTTCACCACCTCCCTAGGTAACCCATGTCGGAGAAAAACAGAGTTCTCACTATTTGTTTAGGTATAGCAAGTCAGATGCTTTATTAACTCTCACAATTGCGCAGAGGGAGAGAGCTAAGCAGGTCTCTCAACAGGTAAACAATTACAGCAAGCATTTATACCTTTTGTTACAGACAATAATGAGCAACAGTTGCATTTTGTTTATACATAGGCCAT